TCCCTCCGTCCCTCCCTCCCTCCCTCCTTCCCTCCTTCTCTGTCTCTGTCTCTCTGTCTCTGTCTCTCTCTTTCTCTCTCTCAAGAGTCCTAAGACAAAAGAAGTCAGTAGCATCTTAAAAGCATCTTAAAATGACATTTTTGGCATCAGCTTTCCTCTGGGGCCTTGCAATCCTCCAAGTGCTCATGTTGATTTATTCAGCGGGGCTAGTCCGAGTCATTATCGGTGAAGAAGGAATGCTCTCAAACTCTCCAGAATATCTGAGAGGAGAAGAAACTGTCCTGTATGAAGAAGCTCTTATTTCTAGAGATGGGCATTGGAAACTGAAGTTGGGTAGTTTGGGTCTTAAACTTTCTTCCTGGGCTTTGCAGATTAAACCGTTATATGAGCATCTTCATGCCTATGTGAGAACGAAGTTGATGGACACTTACCCTTCCTACATCAATCCTACTGGATGCCTCCCTGCTCATTTGCTTGGTAAGGAACTACAGGGGTTCTTTGTGCTCTTTGTCCTTTTAATTATTTCCACGACTAAAGCTGTCTTTTGGAGGGAGGCTCAATCTAAAGCCTTTGAGGGTGTTTGTAAATAACGTTACTGTCATTACAGAAACATTTTTCAAAGCAGAATTTCAGCAGAGAGTCCATTTAAAACCATTCTCTAGCTAATCTGTTCTATTTAAGATGAATCTAGTCTCTAAAGTCGATTCTCTTAGTCGGTTAACTAAGCTTGGGATTTCAGTATTGTGTGGTCAGTGGGCTGAAGACGGCAGGAGAGAGATGTGTCCAGATGAAGATACTGCCTACGGGAAAGCTTCACGAGTTCCCGCGAGACCGGGCCAATAAATCTTGCTGAAAATACTCTCTTTGGAATAACATATGTGTAATTAATGAAAGAGATCGGCCATCCTCTTGTACCCCAGCTGCCAAGACCAAGTAAAATAGAAATACCTGAAAATTTCCTGCCATGCATATTTAATATTCTCCATAGATAGATTCTACCAGCAGGAGAGAATGTGAATAAATGAACTTTGGGAATCTTAATACAACTTAGAAATCTTCTCTATGATGTCCCTGGCAGGCGTTAGTCAGTAATTTAGTGTTTGCTTAAACCTGTCTGGTGTGGTGAGCTCTTTCTTCCTACCAAGGTAGGTTCATTCTTCCTTCCAAGTGGATGTTGCTTGATACCAACTATATGAAAGTTTTGTTTTACATGGATCCCAACCAGCACTTCTCTAGTGCCTTCTGTTCATTACTCTTGTTTCCATGCATAATGTGACTCAAAATGTGCCAATTCTTATCTTACAAGATGACCTTCTAGACATATGTGAACAACTATCATATAAGACATACTACTACCTGGCACACAATTCTATCTTCACCACAGTTTAGTGACGATTATGGTTATTATCACGTATGTACTGTTTTCCTTTCTTCAAGTTCAATATATTACACAGATATTTGACCATTCCTTAAGATCCCAGTACTCTAGTTCTTTCCACTTGGTTGTACTTTATCTGTGACCCTCTTCAGTTGCTGTACTCAGAACTGAACAGCTATTCCAGACGAGGTTTAACTAACATGGAGGTGAAAATAGTACCATGTATGGCTTTCCTCTAGAGCAGTGGTTCTCAACCTTCTTAACGCTGTGAACCTTTAATACAGTTCATGTTGTGGTGACCCGCAACCATAAAAATTATTTTCATTGTTATTTCATAACAGTAATTTTGCTATTGTTATGAATCATAATGTGAATATCTGATATGTGACCCCAAAGGGGTCTAGATACTATTATTTCATCAGCAGCTAAAGGTCTTACCTGTTTTAGAAGTCATATCACGCTGCTTCTTGGGCCACTTTTCGTCTTTTACTATGTACTAGATTTCATTTTTGTGGTGAATACTTATACATTTAAGTATAAGAGTTCACTTTTATCTCTACTCAATTCAATCTTTAAAAAAAAAATAAATAAATCCACCAGGGCTGGCAAGATGGCATGGCAGGTAAAAGTGTTTACCATGCAAACCTGTTGATGTGGGTTTGATCTGCGGAACCCATGATGGAAGGAGAGGATCAACTACTGAAATTGTCCTCTGACAATTGTCCACAGGTGGGCTGTGGTATATGCATGCCCATGCTCATGCACATCACACACAAGCACACACACAATAATAATTATTATTTATTAATAAACGAGTTCACTGGAGTACTCTTCATGTAGTTGTGTTGCCCCATATTTTTAGTGCCAGGGTTCTGATCTCTTGCTATTACAGTGCATGTTTTTCTGGATCCATCTTCTTTCTTATGATCTCTGGCCTTGAATCCAACTTCACACTGTTGGAGATGCTCAGTTACCTAGTTAAGTGTGCTATTATGATATTAAAAGTAAAACTTAGGTATCAGTTTTAGTTAATAGAAACTTTTGAATCATGATCTTACCTGATCCTTTTTTGAATGTGTCCTAGGCATTACTAACAGTTTCATAAGCAGTATTTTGTTGAGTACATGATGGCTTTTTGTAAACCTAATGTGTAGTAGCTATGATGTTCCATATGTTTTATTTTGTTCTGCTTTTTTTGAGAAAGGATCTCACCATGTAGTCCTGACTGGACTGGAACTTGCTGTGCAACCCAGGCTGACCTTGAACTTGAGATCCTCCTCTCTTAGCCTCCCAAGTCCTGAGCTTACTGGCATGCACCACCATGTCCAGTTTTAATTGTGTCTTCCAGTAATTATTCATAATAGGAGAAGCAGTGAAGATCCCCTAACAAGCTTTGCCTAACCACATAATCTCTTGTGTACTTAGTATGTTACAGATGATAAAGAAAAATGTTGCAAAGTTAATATAAGAGAAGGACGAAAAGGAGAAGCAGGAGTAGTGAAAAGGGAATGCAGAATCTAGACTGTTTAGAAATACTGAGTGGCTGCCTTGCCCAGCCAACCTCATGCACTGTGAAAGATTGGATCTGTATTTCTGTTGCTTTTGTCAAATATTAATGTATTCTTTTTGTAAACAGGTGACATGTGGGGTAGATTTTGGACAAATCTGTACCCTTTGACAGTTCCCTTTGGACAGAAACCAAACATAGATGTTACTGATGCAATGTTGAAGCAGGTAGGAAAAAGAAGTCTTAAAACATGAAGTTTCAAGGGCATTTTTCATTTCTGCATCTTTCTGTTCTGATCTTGTATGCGAAATCATGTTGATAAAGATCCAAGCTAAGTTAAATTTATTTCCTATGTATTTTCGTGAAAAAGTAGTTTATAATGTGAATGATCTCAAATACCTTCAATAACAGAACCTCTATTTATCTTGTTGAGAGGCAATCAAAATTGAGATGACCTGTTTTTTTTCTTTAAGCAATAAGATATGGATTTATTAGCTGGTTGGCATCACACTTTTCAAAGTTAATTGTTGCTAAGTAATCAGTCTGTAATCTCTATGAATAGTGATGAACAGGAACATCTTATTTTGGATATTAAAAGTCATTGCTTTTGAAATATTACAATAATCTTTTAAACCACCCCCTTTCTGCCATCTTGGCGTAATTATTTAAATCGTGTTCTCTTCCATCAATGACATTATATTTGAATTTTAGATGGATTTTTTAATTTAATTAAGTTCTACATTTCTTATTAGAATGAATGAACACATTTCCATTTGCCTCTAAAATGGCCTCAGATGGTCACACAATAATTAACTATGTACACTTGCTGAATATTTACTTGAAAATCCCTTTCCAGCTGTAAGTAGTAATGCAATGATGACCTTCCCATATGTAACATACTCCTGGGGAGAGTTCATGGTAGAATAAAACCCCAAAGCTTCAAGCCCTCAACTTGTGCAGCTCTTCTAGATCCATTTTGTCATTGAATCCCAGCAAATGGCCATCACGATATCAACCCTTCTCCTTTTCCAAGAGGCTTCATGTGTATTGTATAGTGGTGAGCATAGCTGCCTTCTAAACTGACTAATGTTAACTCTCAAAAGTGTCAGAAGAGCCACCACGAGAGCTCCATGCTGTAAGAGACACAACAGAGGGGTTGGGGATTTAGCTCAGTGGTAGAGCGCTTGCCTAGCAAACGCAAGGCCCTGGGTTTGGTCCTCAGCTCTGAAGAAAAAAAAAAGAGAGAGACACAACAGACTTAGAAGAACGATTCACCTGATGGCACAAAGATAGTTGGAGGCAACTCCTTACTCAATTCAAAACTGCTAAAGTTTCCTGTCGACTTCTGTTTTTTTATTCACTTGCCATTCAAGAAATATCGACTATGCTTACCAGTCTGTGCTGTTTTGTTCATTCAGCTTCAGAATATCATATTTAAAAACAGTCTTGAAATGTATATGCCATAGCAAGCTCTCGCCCCTAAGAACCAAAACAAACTTGAACACAAAGAGCAAAGCAAGAGGCATTACAGTCTCTGACTTCAAAACATGGTACAAAGCAGAATCATTAAAAATACACAGCTGGGGGGGTGGTGGCGCATGCCTTTAATCCCAGCACTCAGGAGGCAGAGCCAGGCAGATTTCTGTGAGTTCGAGGCCAGCCTGGGCTACCAAGTGAGTTCCAGGAAAGGAAAGGCACAAAAGCTACACAGAGAAACTATGTCTGGAAAAACCAAAAAAAAAAAAAAAAAAAAAATAGACATATGGACCACTAGAACAGAATAGAAAGTCTAGAAGCAAATTCACACATTTGTACCCAACCAATATTTAACAAAGGTGCTAAGAACATACATTAGAGCAAGGACAGACTATTCAATAATTATTCAATGCTGTGAAAATTAGATGTCCACATGGAGAAGAACCAAATAGGAATTTTGTCTCTTACCAGTTCCAAAAATCAACACAAATGGGTGAAAGAGCTAGTTGTAAGACTCAAGACTACGAAACAGGGGAAATGATTACAGACATTGGAATAGGTAAAGAATTTTTGAGCAAGACCCCCAAAGCACAGGAATCAAAAGCTAATGTAGACAAACATGAAAGTAAAAAGCTTCTGCACAGCAAAGGAAACAAGAGAAAACAATATTTAGAACACAAGAAAGTATTTAAAACATGTACATGCCATGAGAGTTAATGTCTAGAATGTACAAGGAACACAATAGCAAAACTCCATATAACCTGACTAAGGCATGAGCATTGTTCCTCAATAGGTAATTTTTGAAAGAAGGTATATAAATAGTTAATTGCTCTATAAAAAGGCTCAGTGCCATTAACAATCATGAAAATGCAATCCAAAACCAAAATGTAAGATGATTTCCCTCCAGTAAAAATGGCTATTAAAAAAGAAAAAAAACCAAAATGAAACGAACAACAAAAAACCAAAACACAAAAAACAACCTACTGAGTGCTGGTGAGGATGGGAAGTAAAGAGAACCCTTCCACACTGACTTGGAAATGTAACATGATACAATCATTAGAAGAAGCAGACAGCCACTTCAAGATACAACTGCCATATAATCCAGGAACTTCATTCCTGAGTATATATCCAAAGGGAAAGAAATGAGTATGTTAAAGTGCCAACAATACTCCTGTGTTTATTGTAATGCTATTCATTATGCTCAAGAAAAGGAAACAAACTCAATGTCTGTATGGAGATGAATAGATAAAGAAAATATGACACCTGCACACAGTGGAATGCTTTTTAGCCATAAAAGAATGAATTCCTGTCATTTATGAGAGCACGGATGAAACTGGAGGTTGTTATGTTAAGTGAAATAAGCCAGACATACAAAGACAAGTACATATGATCTCACTCATATGTGGGAGTGCTGAAGTTGATCTCATGGAAGTTGAGAAGGTGAAGGGAGGTCACCAGATACAGAAACATGTAGGGAGGGGAAGGAGAGGAAGGAGTGAGACTAAGTTATCATCAGTTAACAGTAATAATTTAGATGTGCTATTGCACAGTACAGTGACTGTAGATAATGATGACATACTGCATAATTTTGATGAGCCTGAAGAAATAAATTGAATATTTTCTCCATAAATAAATGGTAAATGGGAAAACAAATATGTCTATTCTAATTTGAACATTAGACAACACACACAAATACACACACACACACACACACACACACATATATATATATATATAATGAAAACACACATTATACCCATGTGTTACATTTCTGTTCTTGTGTATCAGTAAACTATGAATTCAAATTAAAAGACTGACATACTAATTAGTACCAATTTTTTGATATTAAGCCTTTAAGAGTCAGTAATATTAATAATGAGTATGATAATAATATACATTCATATTCTATTTCTTATTGCTAGGGTTGACATAAGAGTAACACTAAACATGACTGATATTCAAGATCAGAATAAATTTTCTGTTACTAAAAATGATTCATGGCACCATGCATTAAATAATCATCCTTTGTTTGCCTGATGTGGGCTTCATTATCTCAACAGACTTGGTTGTCTCCTGAGACATTGGTGTGAAAGAATTTGTCAGGTGGTACATGCTTATGGCTGTCTCTGTAGAGTTTCAAAACATTTTGGGCATTCAGATGCTGTAGTGAAGCTCAAATACTCATTGGCTTCTAGGCCACATCTGGCTTTTTGGTTCCAAATGGCTATGCCTTCATGTCTACTATATTGTTCATTTCTTTCACTGAGCGTAACATGTCTTGACCCCTAAAGGAGTTCAATCAGTGACTGTTGCCTTGAGTTAAATAGTCTTTAGCAAATGGATCGTTGTTTTTGTTTGTATTGGAATATAAAGAAAAATGATGAAGAATGTAGCTTGAAGGTCAACTATTTGTCTAACATATGTAAAGCCCTTGGATTGTTTCACAGCCCTAGGGGAGGGGAGAGTCCATGAACCCAAACCCAAGAATAAGGACAAAACAAAAGAAAACAAAAAAGCACCTCACAGTTTGTTAATAGTTTCATGTATCTTTTTCTTCATTAAGGTTGATACCAACTAAATGATTTCTTTTGTTTTTTTCACTTATTTCATTCTGCTTTATAATGTCCATGTGATTTCTTTGTATATAGTTTGTGTGGCTGCACAATTTCCATTCTACAAAAGTCTCATTGCTTACTCATTCTGATGACTCTTTGCTCTTTGCTTATTCAAAATCATACTCAATGTAACTCTTTGACACAAGTTTTGATTCTTTCCTAGGTGAACTCCCTAGAGGCAGCACTGTGGAGGCCGATGATCAACATCCAAAAGCCCAGCTGTCTGTTGGAAAAGTTTTGCCAACATACATGTCCAATAGGAAGAATTTCTATTCTAGTACAGGAATTCAATATTGTTCTTTTTTTCTTCCTCAGGGCTGGGATGCAGAAAGGATATTTAAAGAGGCAGAGAAGTTCTTTGTTTCTATTGGCCTTCCTCATATGACTCAAGGATTCTGGAGAAACTCCATGCTGGTTGATCCAGGAGATGACCGGAAAGTGGTCTGCCACCCCACAGCTTGGGACCTGGGCAAAGGAGACTTCAGGTAATTGGGCTGGTTCCTGTAGTGCAGATACTAAATGGGAAACAATAAAGACAGAATTCCGTATGCTTCTTTGTGCATGTGATTTAAGGATCTGCAAACTAAAGCTGGGAGTCCACAAGAGTACACTTGTCTCACCTGGGAAAAGAAGAAGGTTCACAGGTCCCGAATGGCGCTTTTAGAGAAAGTTACCTGAAAAATTGCATGTTCATTAGCGTATCATGATCACAGGGTTGGTGGTACTCATGTTAGGAAAGATTTGGTGCTGAGAACTATGACAGATGAACATATGACTCACACATTGATCCTCCCCTCTGTCCCTTACTCTTGTGAGACAGGATGAGTGAATAACAAATTGGAATAAAAGGGAGAAAATGGTACATGCTGTAAGAGAGACACAGGGAATACTTTGCTAGGAATTGGGATTGGAGAATGGCAACTCCTGGACTAGGAGATCGGGTCAGACAGGGTCTCTGTGGGTGGCTTAGGAATGGAGCTTGATAGACACCTGGGAGGACAGCAGGTTGGAGGAACAGAGGGGTCAGGTGCAGAGAGGCGGGACCTGGTGTTGATGCTGAAGTCAGCAAGTTTAGACTGGAACAAAAAACTGTTCAGGATAGTCTGGGAGTCTGTGATGGGGCAGAATGAGCATAGACTGTGGAATCCAAGGTGTGCCACTTAATGATCAGGCAACCTTGAGCCATGTAATCTTGGCTTTCAGTTTCCTTATCTATGAAACAGAACACTAATGCCCAGGTTGCAAGTTTGTGTCTTGGCTTCATTCCCTGGCTTGAAGTGGCAATTTATATAAGGGGAGACCTCTCAGGAAAAGTCAAGTGATGGAACAGGTTCAGATAGGAAAAGCAGATAAAGATGCAATCTGTGATGGAGACCTGGGTCCAGTCTGATCTCATGAATCATTCTGAAGTCTGATTTGAATCAGGATTGGTCACACCTTGAGGCAAGGGGCTGGCCTTTATATCTACCCTGTGTTAGTCAGCTATGGGCTGTAGATTGCTCCAAAGTATTAAGAAAGACTCTCTTTGAGGCACCTCCCACTTGGTCAAAGAAATGAAATCAATTTTTGATAGATATCACTCAGGCATCAGAGGGATAGTATATCTACTTGAGAAATGAGGTCTGGTCCCACCAACACCCATTAGAGTAGAGGCCAGTAGTCTTTTCCTATAAAGATAGTAAGGAGTGGGCTTTGAAAACCTCTGTTGTAGCTGGGTGTGATGGCCTTTAATCCGAGCACTCAGGAGGCAGAGGCAAAAGGATCTCTGTGAGTTCGAGGCCAGTCTGGTCTACAGAGTGAGTTCCAAGACAGCCAGAGCTGGTACACAGAGAAACCCTGTCTTGACACCCTCGTCCAAAAGAAAACCCCTGTTGCAATAGACAACTTGTTGTATTTTAAAAATGGTGGGAAGGAGTTACACCATACAACAGGACCCACATGACAGGTTTATTGAGGGGAAGGGAGAGAGGGGGCAAAGAAGGGGGCAGAGACCAGCCCCTGAGGATGAAAGCAAAAGAAGAGAAAGAGATGGAAGGTGAGCAACGACTTATAAGAAAACATAGCGAATGCGCACAGGGGGTGCCCTTAGTGGCTGCAGCTAAGGACACATCCTGTCAGGACCCTAAGGGCAGGCCAGTACAGATGCCTGAATGCCAACACAACTCTGTAATTGTAGCATGAAAACAGCCATAGATAATCCATAAACAAATGAATGGGGATATGTGTCAATTAAGCTTTATAAAAACAGACATTGGGCTATAGGTGATCAGTCCAAATCCTCCAGTGAGGCTAAAAACTGAGAGTATATTCATGTTTCCTAATTCAAAATATAGATAGTAAATATATAATAGCAATTATAACTGTTGAAAAAAGAATAGAGAGAAATAAGTTAGGAAAGCATGTGGTGGTCACATTAGGGTGGATATAGGAGGTTGACTTTATTCTGAACAGTGGGGAGTCCCTAACGAGTATTTGTCAGTATGCAAGGGTCACACAAAGAGATTGTTAGGAAAATCCATTTGAAAATCTTTTAAAATATAACACCCACTCCTATCTGAATGAGCATATGAGCATATGTATGTCAAATGGAGAAGGACCACCGCATATTTGCCAAATGCAGTTCTGTTCTCACTGGGTCACAGCACAGACATTTACCTGTTGTCTTTAAACATCATTTCTCATTGACTTCTGTGTGGTGATGGTCTTCCAGACTTCTCTAATGTCTCTAATGGCACTTTTTCTATGCACCTTGAGTCTATGCTTTCTGGAATCATAGGTACTCGGACCTCCTACAGCTTTGTCTTTGGTCCTCTTTCTTGCTACCCTGCCCCTGCTTCTTGGGCCATCATGTCTACCTTCATGATTTACATTGTAATGATACCCAGATCTAAATGTCTAGCCCCTTCTCAGTCCTAGCTATGCGTGGTGCTTCTAGAAGACTGTGCCTGTATTCACTTATTGTTGTACACTAGGCCACCTTTATCAATCACTTACACACTACTCACTTCAGAATTATGTAGCAGAGAGCTCCACTTATCACCCTTTTTTTAGTGTATAAGCATGAGAATAGGATTTAGGATGCCCCCCACTTTATATTGAGTAACTGGTTCATAAGGGACAAATGGTAAAAATTCAATGATGACTAAATCTTCATGTTGCCCAACCCCCACAAAACTCCGCTACAGTGAGTGATTAAAGGAAACTAAGATTCATTTTAATCTTGCCCATTTTTAATGCAGAATTAAGATGTGTACAACGGTCACAATGGACAACTTCCTGACAGCACACCATGAGATGGGACACATCCAATACGACATGGCATATGCCACACAACCTTTCCTGCTAAGAAATGGAGCCAATGAAGGGTTCCATGAAGCTGTTGGGGAAATCATGTCACTTTCTGCAGCTACACCCGAGCATCTGAAATCCATTGGTCTTCTGCCGTCTGATTTTCATGAAGACAGTGGTACATTCTCCTTTGGCTTGTTTTGGGGGTAATCTGATATGAGGAGAGGTATTTATTATCATCTATGGGAAAATACTTGTTTTGCTTTATGCCACCTAGGTGAAAAAATGTATATGGGGCTTGCTACTATTAAAAAGTTTGTTTTTAGTATGCCAACTTGTGGTTTTATATATTTAAACAAGGAGTTAAGTGAGATAACTGAATGAATGATCTTGGGACTCTAAGACTGATCTAATAAGCCAGGCAGTAGTGGCACATGCCTTTAATCCCAGTGCTTGGGAGGCAGAAGTAGGCGATCTCTGTGAGTTCGAGGCCAGCCTGGTCTGTACAGTGAGTTCCAGGACAGCCACAACTACAGAGAGAAACCCTGTCTCAAAAAAAAAAAAAAAAAAAAAAAAAAAAAAAAGATATAATAATAGAAGCTTGTAGACTTTTTGAAGATACTGAAATGGTCTGAAGAACTTAAATGTTTTGTCCAGGGTCATGAAGCTAGTCAGTATCTAGCTTTTAAACACTTGGCTGTCATTTTAGGTTAAAAACAAAAAACTCCCAACAATGTTAGAGTGGGAACAGGTTATTCTGAAATAGTCACTATAAACCCACATACAGTAGTTTATAGTTCATTAGTGGTGCTTTTTAATGAAGAAAGCAACATGGGAAAGGCAGTTTATGGTAAACATACCTGCTTCCTAATTTCAAAATATGATTAATTCATGCTAATGAACAGACCATGATTTGTTTCATGTTTTTTTACATTTTCCTTGAGAATAGGCAAAGATGATGAAATCAGTATGTTTCTTTTTGTTGTTGTTTTTGTTTTTGTTTTGTTTTGTTTTGTTTTATTTTGTTTTGTTTTGAGACAAGGTTTCTCTGTGTAGTTTTGGTTCCTGTCCTGGATCTTGCTCTGTAGACCAGGCTGGCCTCAAACTCATAGAGATCCACCTGCCTCTGCTTCCCATGCTGGGAATAAATAAATAAAGGCGAGTGGCCAGCCAGTGTATTTCTTATGATGTCACACAATGAAAGCACTAGCTTGAAAAAAATCCTCCTTCCCTTGGCTCTGGCCTTGATATATGAATGATGTTAAACAAATAGATTCCTTCATCTTTTCCTCCTTTCCTTCAGCTTGACCTTGTTTTCTTTTTGGGGTGTGTGTATACTTTGCTGTTTGGAAACAAGGCCTTACTCTGTAGCCGGGGATGTCCTGAAACTCACACCATCCCTTCTACCTCAGCATTTCAAGTTCACGGATCATAGGCATGAGTCACTGTGCCGGCCTCTTTATTTTTCTAAACAAATTGGTTGAGCACCTACCATGTGTGAGGCATTTCCCCCCTAAACATATAGTGATGCACAGAATAGATAATGCCTCTGCACTTACATTTGAGTGATCTTCTGTGGTGTGCTGGAGGCCAACCCTACTTCCTCTTTAGGCTAATGAACTTATGTAACTTATAAAAGCATTTACATTTGTACTTTTGATTAGCCAGTAGAAGATAACCCTCTAGAGATGCTCCTTTAAATTTTTTGGCTTAAATTTATTTTTAGTTAACATATAAACACATAACTGTTGTACATGCTAATGGAGTAATATGATGTTAAGATACATGTATATACCATGTGATGTTTACACTACAGCAAACATACCTATCTCTACAAACATCATTAACTGATAGTGAAACTTTGGAGAATCCTTTTTTTCTAGTTTCTTTTTCTTTTTTTCTTTTTCAGTGCTGGAAATGGAACTGGGGGCTTCATACATGTTAGGCAAACACTCTACCACTCATAGACCTCTCGCTGAAATGTACAAGACATTATTGTCCTTTATATAGCCAACCTGTTGTGCAAAAGAAGAATGTTTTTTGAAAAAATCTCCCCACCCTAGTTTCTAAGGATTCACCACATCTGTTTAATGTTTGCTTATTTACTAAGGACTCACAGAGAGCATTACAGAGCAGACACTAGACTGCTGTACACAGTCTTCAGTGAGACATTAACAGTCACCGCCTACATGAAGCTCTCAAGAATAAACACTAGGACTGGGAAAATAGATGAAATTGCCCTACTCAGCTCCGATAAGGGGATATTTAAGGAAGGCAATTAAAAGTAGTAAAAAAAAAAGTAAGGATTAGTGAACTTGTGGATTGTTACTTACTTGTTCTATTCCAAGGCTTTATTCTATTTTAGAACCATCACCTAAGAAGAAAAATAGATACACATTATTAATGTCCGCTGCCAATATTTCTCATCTACTCATCCTGTAGTAAGGTTATCTTGAGGAAGAATAGTAACTCGAGATTAGGAAAGTTCTTTTACAAAATTTCTGCTTTCATTTCCCACCTTAATATTTGGCCTTTCCCATTTGACTTTCAGAAACAGAAATAAACTTCCTGCTCAAGCAAGCCCTGACAATCGTTGGGACACTGCCATTTACTTACATGTTAGAGAAGTGGAGGTGGATGGTGTTTACGGGCGAAATTCCCAAAGAACAATGGATGCAAAAGTGGTGGGAGATGAAGTAAGTCAATGAATTTGCAATCAACAAAATGTTTCCTCATGGGCTAGGTATAAAGCAGGACAGCCAGAACTATATAGAGAAACCCTGTCTTGAAAAACTAAAAAAAAAAAAAAAAAAGGAAAAGATGTAGTTCATCAGGGGAGCTTCTAATGTTTGTGTATAAGTCCACAAAGAACCATAGTTGCCTACAAAATTTGCAATAATAAATGACAATGTCTAAAAATAAAGCCTATATGGCTTGTCTACTTTTTTTTCCTACTGGGCTAACTTTTGAATCCCTGCTAATTTATTTTAAACCAACCTCGAATCAGACCTTCAAAGCAATCCATCCATGTATTGATTGCTCATGTGGTCATTTGCCAATCAGAAATGAAACCTCTCCTTCGCGTTCTGCATAGTATTTCTCACAAGAACTACAAAGATAACTGAGACATAGCCTCATTCTCTCAGTGCTCATGTCTCGGTGGTACCGAGTCTACAGGTGAAAAACCACAACACACAGAGAGAAATGGCAGAGGATGAAAGAAAACAACAGATAATGCATGAAAATAGGAGGCTGCAGAGGTCAAGAAAAGGGAATAGTGAGAAAGAGCAGGATATGACAAGAAGGGAGTGAAGATGATCAAATTATATTACATATATGTAGGAGATGTCACGAGAACCGTTATTTTATATAACTAACAAATGCCAGTAAAAGGCAAGAGAACAAAGCATTTCTAAAAGAAGACACAGAAGCTAAGGGAGCTTAAGGGTTGACCACATTGCAAAGTGGGGGCCAAGTTTCATGGAAGAGGACCCATTTGAATTAGCTTGAAGAAAAAAAAGGTTTCAGTTTTACGAAGTTCTGACAGGAGCACAGAAGGCGCAATGTCTGAGAGAATTGATGGGGTTTTCACTGCACACTTACAGCCACACAGTGGCTTTATGGACCTTTTTAAACTTAATGTTTTAAGGAGATGACTATTTTCCAATGATGCATTTTGGTTGAATTAAGGCAATAGAAGGCAAACACACAAGAGGCTTTGCTTTCTTGTTTTTACAATTTTTTTTTTTTATTTCAACTGACAACCAGTTCCGATATAAATACTATTGACAGGTGAAAGTGCTCTAGCTGATCTCAGAGTTCCTGTCTCATGATGGTCTACTCCCAGCTAATGTGTGCTTCCCTTTTCTTCCCAAGGCGAGAGATCGTTGGTGTGGTGGAGCCTGTGCCTCATGACGAAACATACTGTGACCCTGCAGCTCTGTTCCACGTTTCTAATGATTACTCATTCATCCGGTAAATGACAGTTTTCTGTTTCTGTTTCCTGTTTCTCTCTGTTTATCATCTGGAGTTTAAGAGATAGCTGTGGCTAATAACAAAAGCATAAACAGGGCTCGATGAAGTGATAATTACAAGCCTTTTCTATCTATCTCCTACCACAAGCTTAGTGTAGATGATCAGTTTCAATTGAATTTAATGCAACATGTTTTATTGTTTTAAATTGACTTATATGAGATCTTTTCCCCATAGTTGAGGATTGTCCTATTTTGCTTTGTATTGCTGGGATAAATACTATGACCAAAAGCACCTTGGGGATGAAAGGGTTGATTTGGCTTTGCTCTAATCACGACCCATCATGGAAGGAAGCCAAGGCAGGAACTCAAGCAGGGCAAGAACCTGGAGGCAGGAATTGAAGCAGAGACCATGGAGAACATTGCTCACTGGCTTGCTCTTCATGGCTGGCTTAGCTCGACTTCTTGTACCTCACAGGACCACCTGCCCATGGGTGGTATCTCCTCCAATAGGCTGGGCTCTCCCACATCAATCATTAATCCAAAAAAAAAATCCAAAAAATGTTCCTTAGAGCTTTTTTGGGTTAGAGACCAGTCTGATGGAAGCATTTTTTTCAATTGGGGTTCCTTCTTTTTAGATGACTCCAGCTTATGTCAAGTTGACAAAAAACTAACCAAAAAATACTTTTGGTTCATCTTCTTATCACCTGTAGCATTTACTATGCATCAAAAAGTATTTTATTATTGTTGTTGTTTATTTTGTCTTTGTTTGAGACAGAGACTTAATTACATGTCCCAGGCTGGCCTTCAAGTTCATAATCCTCCTTCCTGAATGCTGGGATGCAGGGGTGTGTTGGCCTCACTTTCTGTATTTGTAAAAATGTGAATTTTACTTTCCTGGCATAAGGACCAGCTTGACACCATTTTATAGGAAAGGGCTATAACTCTGTGACAGCAATTCAAATGTGACTAACCTGTGACAGAGAGGTAACACTGCTCTATCATCAAATATATGCAATACAAATAGCATGTGGTGCATCCAAAGAGTTTGTGTTGTACCTCTGCTACAGAAGGACTTTTAGACAATACCTTTGGGATTACTTGGGACAGGAATTTAAATATACACCCACTTCTGTGACTCTACCACAGCAATAAAACATGCTTTTTGTTTGTTTCTTTGTCACTTGTACAGATATTACACAAGAACCATTTATCAATTCCAGTTTCAAGAAGCCCTTTGTCAAGCAGCTAAACATGATGGCCCACTGCACAAATGTGACATCTCAAATTCCACTGAAGCTGGGCAGAAGTTGCTGTAAGAAATGCCTCAAAATGTTGAACGTTTCTTAGCACCCCATACTATTAATTTCCATGCCTCTGATTTAACTTAATTTATTTGCCTCCTCCAACCTCTATCCCTCAAAAAAGAAAAATTGAGACTTCAGAATTTCTCCAACCACCCAATCATGTTTAATTTGGAATCAGATAGGAACCTAGTTCATGAGATGCCAGGATAGGCCACCTCTTGTCTATGTGATAATCACAGGGCTCTCTTTTGAACAATTGGAAGGAAAGAGAGCTTGAACCTTGAATCCATCTGATAATATGTCTTATTTTTCTAATCCACCTAAAGAAAATTTAACCAGTTCCAAGAAAAGAAGTATAGTGTGTAGATGCCAAGGTACGCCCATCTGGAACGCTCAAAATGACCTGCATTCTGCCTTTTTTCATGTAGCAATATGCTGCGTCTTGGAAACTCAGAACCCTGGACCCTAGCATTGGAAAATGTGGTAGGAGCAAGAAATATGGATGTAAGACCACTGCTCAATTACTTTGAGCCATTGTTTGCCTGGCTGAAAGAACAGAACAAGAATTCTCTTGTGGGGTGGAACACTGACTGGAGTCCATGTGAGTTCACTGACGGCACATGCATTGTGCATTGTCCCTTGTTTGCTTCTCTTAGTGTCTTTTAGCTGTAGCCTTGCGGGGGCTGTGACATGGCTGAATAGGTTCCCTCTTCTTCAGACTGTGTCACAAACTCTGTTAAGTGTTCTTATTAGTCTCACCTTCACAATAAGAACATGGCACTCTCCTACTGCCCTGGAATGTTGTTCTTTGTCCTCCTCTGCTTCCTGTTGCTGTGATAAGAACCAGGACCAAAAGCAACTTGGAGAGGAAAGGGTTTATTCCAGCTTACAGCTTATAGTCCATCATCAGAAACTCAAGGTAGTAATCTGCAGGCTGGAACTGAAGCGAGGCCATGGAGGAACGCTGCTTACTAGCTTGCTCTCCATGGTTTGCTCAGCTTGATTTTTCCTAGGACCACCTGCCCAGGGGTGGCATTGCCCACAATGTGCTGAGACTTCACACATCAATTGTGAGTCACAAAAATGCCCCACAGGCCAACCAGATGAAGACATCTTTTTCAATTAAGGTTCATCTTCCCAGATAACACTCTAGCTGTGCCAAGGTGACCAAACAAACAAACAAACAAACAAACCTAACCAGGACACTCTCCTGAGGCAAACCCTGTCATCTGTATCACAGTTAGTCCCTGTGTTGCCGACAGTCACTTTCCTACCTCTGTAATTTTGTTTATACTGCTGTCTTACTATTGGTCACTTGTAGAACCCCTCCCCTACATACTCGCCCATTGGCATTTTTTTCCACAGACTCAGGAAAGGTTTAATATGATTTTTAGTAAAGCAGTTATCAATATTTATGTCTGGCCACCTGCACAGCCAAATAACATACTATGCTGTATTCTTTAAGTGGCTTGTTTGCATCAGAGTTTCTCACCCAGAACTCACCCCAGTTTTTGGCAGGCCTAATCTACCATCAAACAGTATTTATTTATTACCAATTAGTCCAGTGTATTTCAGCCTCTGTATCCCTCCCTAGAAACTTCCACTTGGAGTCTTACATACTCCTATCTTAATACAGACCATAATCATCCTTCAGAACCATCTCTGGGTTGAATTCTTCTGGGTTGAATCTCGTTTCCCAGGTTCCACATCTTCTTTCTAGGTTTCTATCTTGTTCTGTTGGAGACCAAGTTCTAACTGGCTAAGTAAGTGATGATGGTGTGCAGAACCATGCCATCCCCAAAGTGGCTTTAACCACAGCCTCAGTACCATTTCCAGTCTCTTCCCACCTCTGCTGTATTGGAGTCCCAGGATTTCTCTTGGAGTTTCTCCCTTTTGGGCCTGTAATCTCTTCTGTGCACATACACATCAAGCAGTGACTTATGGCTCTCTCAGAAAGTAGTTACCAGTTTCTCAGTTCTCATTCTGCAAAAGCTATGTCTGTACCTTAAAAATAATCCTACTGCTCTGCCACCTTAGTGCAATCTTGGGAAGGGGACAAAAATAAATGTGTGGTCAGTCTGTCATCTAAACCAGATGTCTCAAACTTCTCTTTACTCAGATGCCGACCAAAGCATTAAAGTGAGGATAAGCTTAAAATCAGCTCTTGGAAAAAATGCAGTGAGTATTCTGAATGGTGGTTCCATTTCTCTTTAGAACATTCTCTTCCCTTGAAACCCCATTTCAGTGTGGTCTGAATGAAGAGAGGCCACATAGTTCTCTTAAAACTATAAGCCCCAGGTCTGGCTTCCAGCTGACTCCCTCCCTCCCTCCTTCCCTCCCTCCCTCCCTCCCTCCCTTCCTTTTTTCCTCCCTCTGTTCCTCCCTCCGTCTCTCCCTTCCTTCCTTCCTTTCTTCCTTCCTTGCTTCTTTTCCTTTGTAGTTCATCCCTTATTGGATAGACAATGTTTGCTTTTCACTTGTTACCTTTCCACTATGACTTGTATTCAAGGATTTCTTTCTTTCTCTCTTTCTTTCTCTCTCTCTTTCTTTCTCTCTCTTTCTTTCTTTCTTTCTTTCTTTCTTTCTTTCTTTCTTTCTTTCTTTCTTTCTTTCTTTCTTTCTTTCTTTCTTTCTTTCTTTTTGAGACAGGGTT